CCCCAAAACCCCAAAACCCCAAAACCCCAAAACCCCAAAACCCCTGACTGAACATTTCGAATTGATATTCGATTTCTTAGAAATTTAAGTGAGATCTCTAGCGGCTAATAACTTGTTGAATGACTTCTTCACCATTGTAGAGTGGCCTTCATAACAATGAGGGGTGTCTAAGTGTCCTAGGCTCTTTACACCCTCGAGACGTGGTACATCTCCAAGAATTTTAGGATTCCCAACGGGTCTTTTAGAATTCTCCCTACTGTCTAACTCATTTCTAGTGTACTCTCCAGGGCCAGGAGCGAAGGAGTTAGTTGATCTGCCAAACCGAGGTGAAAGGACGTCGAAGCCAACTTTTTGTCCTGCGTATTCGACCGGCTTTTTCAAGAGAACATAATTGTTGTTTTCTCTCTTTTCCCTTCTATTTCCTTCTGTGATTAGAACGTTATTATGGTATACTTCTGCTTCAAATTTTCTTTGAGTTTGGTAATGGCCTATAAATGTTATTGATCAGTCTTGAAGTTCTATTACTTTTATGGTCATTCTCTAACCTTGTGGTTTGGGATTTAAACATATGGGAAGGCCTTGACTCATCGATTTCCTTCATCCTCTCATTGACCATCTTGTTCCTTTGCTTTTTAATTTGAAGGAGAGATTCTAACAGTTAAATATAAATCTTTACCGTTCATATCGCTTGTTGAGCTCATATCTGCATTTCTCTTAGCAATTTCTCGATTCTTCTTAATATTATCTTCATATTCTTTCAGCTTGAATCTATTACTAGATGTTCCGAATGGAACCTTCCTGTATCTTGCAGATAGCTTATGGTCCAAAATCTTAAGTTCTTCATTAAACCCTCAATCGTACTGTCCTGGACCAGGTGGATCAACCTTGCTCTTCTGTGGTTCATTAATAGTGCCTCCTTTGTTCAGAATTTTTGCATTCGCAAGGATTGTAGCTCTGTTCTGATTCAGGTTTTCCTGCATCTTTTTACTCTTGCTCTTGGATGGTTCCTTCTTTAACCTGCTCTTCTTGTCATAGGTGCCAACACCTGGATTGGTAACTCAAGTAGGGTCTGAGAAAGGAGATTTGATAACATTTCTATTGATCAAATACTGTCTTTCAGTAGTACTTCCAAACCCTTCTGGATTGTTTTTGATGTACGCATGATCATATCCAGTCTCATACATTCCTGGACCTGGTGTTTGATTAACTTGAGGGCTCCTGGCGGTCCTCGAAGCAAATACAGCATTCTGGTTGTTCAATTTATGAGTGGATATCTTTTCATGAATAGTTGCTTTCTTTGGTTTACTGACTGTTTTAACAATTCTTTGAACATAATTCATGTTCCCTTGTTTATTAAGCAAAGTATTCTTCATTATTTTGGTAAAAGGAGCTTTCTTATGAATAGCTGAAACATTTGGCTCATAATAGCCTGGCCCAACACTATTAATATTATCATTGTCTCTTTTGAACGGAATTGAATTCACTGTTTTTGAGTGTGATAAGGTAGACTTATTCCTTGTCCTAGTAAATTTCTTGCTCTTTCCTTTTTCATTATTTTTACTAGCTCTATCACTAGAGAATAGCCTTAATTTTGAATTATCAACAGTGCTTGCAATTGAAAGTTCATCAATATCAGGTTTGAACATGCTTGGCCTTGATCGTGCATTACTCTGGCGACTGGTAGAACTAATATACTAAACTATTTACCTTAAGAAATCTTACAGAGACACTCTGCTTCTTCTTTGGAATTTGAAATTCTTTGTAATGTCCTGGTCCAGGTAAAGCCTCAAATTTCATAGCTAATTCGCTTTTGAACCTCTCTCCTCAGACTCCGAAAGGTACTGCTCCATGATTATGACATTCCTTAGCTCCAACTACTGAATTATTATAAGTACCAGGACCAACATCTTTGGTTGCATTTGAAGTCCAGGTCCTTGAGTCTCTTTCTTCAAAATAAATCATTTATTCTTATAATTATCAATTTTATTTTCTTAAGCAGGGGTTTTGGGGTTTTGGGGTTTTGGGGTTTTGGGG